GATCGTGACCCCCGCATCCCGGAGAAGGAGTGGAAGAAGATCATGTCCTTCACGTACACAGGAGCTCGGCGGTGCCCTTGGTTCAACTGCTCACTCGGCTGCTGCTTCGGGGTTCAGTGCCGCAACAAGCATATATGCCATATATGCGTCCAGTGCGGGGGTGATCACCCCTACCATGGCAACCGCCGAGCTCCCCTTCCCTCGCCTGGGTTCCGTTGTCTGGGAATGCAAGGTGGGTTGTCCGACAGACCGGGGGATTTCTCCCTCAAACAGCCAACGTCGTCATTGGCCGCTCTGCCTTAGGCGACATGTGAAGCTCCTTCTCAGAAGCTGAATTCGGCTGGTCAAGCGTCGGCACCACCGTGGTCTGCTTGGTCGCAAGTTCCAGAGGATCCCTACTTGGTGCGAGATCTGGGTCCTTGGTGCCTTGAACTCTTTGCGGGCAGCGGCATCTTCACGGCTCACCTTCGTCATCAAGGTCTTCTGCTGCTGCCGCCAATCGACGTCGTACTCTCGCATGAAGTTGTTGAACGACAAGATCTTCTGCATGGCGACTTCTTCGAGCGCCTTCTGCTTTTAGCACGTATGGGAGCGATCGTCTTCTTGCATGTGGGTCTGCCTTGCGCCACGTTCAGTCAAGCTCGGCAACCCCCAGGAGGTCCGCGGCCGTTGCGCTCCAGTTCAATGCCTCTCGGTCTTCCCGACAGGTCTGCTGCGGAAGAGGAACAGCTCTTTGCAGCAAACGAGCTCCTTACTCGCTCGTTGCTGCTCATGCAGGCGGTGATCGCTTCAGGCGGCGATTTCTCCCTGGAAAACCGTCTAACCAGTCTCCTGTGGCAAGTCCCCGCTGTTCAGCAGCTTAAAGTTCGACATCATCTCTACAATGTCGAGTTTGGCAACACCTCCAGAAAGTCCACACGTCTCTTGGTTAGCAATTCTCTTTTTCTTCAGCTCGCACGCACATGCTCAGGCGGTCACGAGCATGTCCCGCTCAAGGGCAAGGTTCGCCGACCCGATGGTCGTTGGATCTTTGCTACAAAGCCGGCGCAGGTCTACCCCCTCGGCCTCGCGATCGCCTGGTCGGCCGTGGTCGCGCAGATCGTCCAGGGCAGGAGCTTCGGGCAATTGCCGATCCCGCTCTGCGCCGTCTTCTTCGAGGCGGGCCAGATTATGCCGATCTGCAGCTGGGCTCCTTCACGCACGTCAAGCTCTACGACGAGTTGCTCGAGGCCTCGGGGTGTGCCGACCGATCTCTCGCACAAGGTCTGCGCGCTGGTTACCCGATCGTCGGACCCATTCAACGATCGGGGGGCTGGCCAGAATACCCCAAGCCTCAGAATCCTGTTCGCGTTTCTGACTCTACTGTTGCTGCTTTTCATGATGAGGACGAAGTGACTCATTTCTTGGGTTGCGATGACTGGATCCCGACGCAGAGGTTCGAGGTCGTCCAGAAGAACAAGGTCCGGGGGTGTGATAGTGCCACCTCGAAGCTGATCAATAAGACGGCGGTGATCACCGAAAAGCTGCAACTGCCTTCTACGGATCTTAACGTTGCAGTTCTTCGTGAACTCAGGACCAGGGCAGGCGATCGTCGTCTCCAAGGTTGGGTTCTCGATGAGCGGAAAGCCTATCGGCAGCTGCCGATCCTGCCGCAGCATCGCAAGTTCAGTGTGATCTGCCTCAAGGATCCTGAAGATGATCGTCCTAAGTACTTCGTCATGATCGGCCATTCTTTCGGTCTGGTCTCGGCGGTGTACAACTATAATCGCCGATCGGCTGCTTTGAACGATGTCTTCACTCGTCTGTTCAAGATGGTGTCGTTCAACTTCTACGACGACAAGTACGGGTTCGAGACAGAGCAAGCTCGTCGCCGAAACGATCCATTGGCTCCTTGGCGCGTCGTTCGACCAGAAGAAGCTCCAGCTTTCATCTCTTCCGGTGGTCTTGGGAGTTACGTTTAACCTTGAGGACTTTCTCCTCGAGATCAAAGAGGAAAGGAAGGCGGAGCTCGTCGAGTCGATCGACGCGATCCTGGCATCAGGTACCTTGGATCCAGGGACGGCAGGGAAGCTCAAGGGCAAGCTCATGTTTGGCGCAAGCCAGCTCTGGGGTAAGGTAAGCCGGGCGTTCTTCCGGCCTATTTCGGAAAGACAGTACTCCAAGGATCTGAGTGGCGATCGCATGGACCTCAACGAAGCCCTGAAGCGCTCGCTGATCTACTGGAGGGGCCTCGTCGAGTTCGGTCCACCTCGGGACATCTCCTTGCACGCTTCGAAGAGGTCTGACATCGTGATCTTCACAGACGGTTTCACTCCTTATCAGAGGAAAGCTGAGTGCGGACCCGATCGAGTTGGAGCAGTGATGTTCGATAGGCGGGGTCTCGCGCCGAAGCAGTTCACGGAGGTGATCCCTCATTCGATTTCTGAGAAGTGGATCCCCCGGAACACCCAGATCGTACCGATTGAGATGATTGCTCCGATCTTAGCTCTGGAAGCCTTCCGTGACCATGTTCGGAATAAGGATGTTATTCTTTTGATCGACTCGGAGGCCGTACAGGCCTCCTTGGTCAAAGGATACTCCTCCAAGAAGATCTTTGTAAGCTCGTCGAACTTTTCTGGGAGCTTTCGCTCGAATACCGAGCCAATTTCTTCATCGATCGAGTTTCAACTGACGCCAACCCTGCCGACTGGCCATCGAGAGATCATCTCCAGATCGGCGAGACGGCGGGGTGGGAGATTGTACTTTGTTCGTGGCTTGCAGCGCTCGCATGAAAACGGATTGTGGGCCTGGGAGAAGCTCGGGTCTTGAGGGCCTGGAGGGTCGCGAGGACTCGTTCGAGACCTTTGCGGTCGGTCCCGCGAAGGTTGCACTGACTGCTCGTTCGAGCTTTTCTTCTACGGACTACTTCGTTCGAAGTTGTCGGTGGTCGGGTTTGAGCGGCTCGAGGATTCGATTGTTTGCTCGTGTGATGCTCGATGTGCCGCTCGACCCCATGCCAGAGTGGTTTAAACGGTCTTTGCCACTCTGCACCTCTCCTTCGGCTGCTGATCAGTGAGTTCTCTCGAACGTGCATGCGGGTAGTGTGATATTTGCTAGTTGCCAAGCAATAGGTCTCCGGCCAACTGGATGCAGGTCCTAACCTGAGGACAAACGACATTCCACAAGGGAGCGAATCAACAAAATCCGGTTGACATTGCACTTGAACGGGCATGCTTCCCGGACGTTCTCATGCAGGAGCTCTATTTGAAGCGCAACCCTGAAGAGACAGGATTGCTCTGGCAATGTGAGTTTGTCGTATTTCGGCTGGATTCTGGATGTAGTTGGAATATTACAGTCCGCTTGCGATTCCGGTACTGACATGTACATGGATCTGTCAAGCGCAGATCACAATTTGCTGGCTGAGCGAATTGGCATAGCCGATGTTATATTTTCAGCAAAATCCCCGACACATGTGCAACAACCGACACAAGCACCAAGCACACTGACCGAGAATGAAGTTCTATATGTGCCAATGTATGTGTTTGCATTGCGCTGTTTTCAGTCTGTTCTTATGGATTCAGGGTTTGGGAGAGTCCAGTTCCAATACTGTTTCGAGACGTCCATATACTTCGATGGTGATCATTCCTTATAGTGACGTGCCGGCAAGTCTGCAAATTTAGCAAAGAGCGTTGAGGTATTTGTCGAGACAATGGCAAAAGCAAGCATCGGAAAACAGTCCGGAACGAGAGCCAACAGAATTGAGACTGGACGATACCATCCACAGAACTCAACTCATCAACAATCAATAAGTTGACCCTTCGGCTACATCACCGATCTCACAATCTTCCGAAAGTGTTTTCGACGGGCATGACCCATTTTTCAAAGCCATGTTACGTGAGTAACAACCACAGAAAGCCTTGCAACAAGATCTGCTTCGAGACAATGTCTGTTCCAACTGTGTAAAGCAAAGCCAAGCTTTTGCCAGAACGTCCCTCAAGATCGAGACGTCTGATCCGATTGATTATGGTATGCAAACCGGCGAAACAAGAATACTCCTCACTGACTACTCGGGCTGAGATTTTATTTGAGCGCCACGCCAAGGGATCTAAAAGTATTCGCGGAATTATCAAAGTTATGCAGCCTGTTAGCCGCAGTGATGGTAACCAATCAGGGAAATGAGCTGAATTGTGGACGTGACGACGAGAAACAGAACAGAACGTGAGCCGCATGGCAGAGTGCATGGACGAGAAAAGTTGCAATTGTGGCAGGAGGAGCACTCAACCTACCGGGACCGGTCAAGATGTACGTCAGTCTCTTGTTTCCGTGCGGCATAGATGGAGGTATAGAGTAGGCCCTGAGTCGGTGGTGATGATCGCTTATGGCAACCGTTTGATGAAGTACGAGACAAGCCAAAAACATGCATGAAAATACCATAGAGATCGACGAGGTGGAGACACAGGAATGTGAAACAGCAATGTGACTATAGTGCAGCACATAGGACTGGGCATTGTCATTGGCTGCAGGCTGTTGAGAGGGCGGTTCTTGTAGTATGAGGCTGTGATTCATACTCTTGGTAATGCCAGACTGACATTACGGACAGAATCAGTATTTGGTCTGTCGCCGTTTGCCGTGGTAAGTTAAAGCAAACACCGAAATTGACTTCCTGCGTGAAGAACCTTCAGCTGGCTGGTGGATTATATACGATCACAGCATGCCGAAAATTCTCCACGAACTGTAAACATGCCAGCCGCAACTTCGAAAGAACCGCAACATTGCCTGACAAACAAAAAAGGAAGAATGCCCCTAGATGCTTGAAAGATCTTCAAAACTAAGTGAGGCACTTTTTATGCGGAGGAGAAGGATATGAATAGCTCGTGTAAACATGGCTTGCAATGGCTTGTATATCAGTTTGTTGCAAGGACACTTGGAGTCCGGTTTTGCAAGAAATCGATGCGGCATGCAGTTGCGGAAAAATCTGAATTTCGGGAGTGAGGCCCTGGGTTTGCTTCGAATTGCATCAGGTTGGAGCTGCTGGCGGCGGTAAAACGCCGAGACCTGAAGGCCGAAGGGCCGAAGGGAGAGCCTGGCATGGCATGGCCATCGGTTCGGCCTTGTCCCTAGCGGCCATTAGTGGCCCTGCCTCCAGGAGATGCGGCAGCGTCTTGACGCTGCTCGTGCTGTCAATGTCGAGGCTGCCTTTGAACATCTTTGAACGCGTGCATACGCCTGCAATGCAGCAAAACCTTCTGCGCGTGAGGAAGAGAAGGTGCTCGAAGCTTCGCGCAAGCTGGCCCTTGGTGAAATCAAGGAAGGTACGAAACTGCAGGATGCGGAGGCAAGCATAGCAGTGAGTTCCTTCCTTCTCCAGCTTTGTTGAAACGATTTGTCAGATGCTGCTGCGTGCCCTGGACGAGGGCAGGGCCGCAGGGCTGACGGAGCGCGCCGACTGCGTCCACAAGTCCTTTGTGTGCGGTTCTTGAGCGTTGGTTGTTCTCTTCCCAGGAGAACCAGTTGTACACAGGCAAGAGCGCGTACCTGAAAATGCAGGCCAGCGCTGCCAACCTCGTTGTGGGATGGCGTTCCACTGCAATCAAGACACAAGAGGTTGGTAATTGGTACTTTGAGTTTTCTTAGACTTCCGTAGTCCTGCCAGTCTTGCGCCCGCGAGGGCTCTTCCGTGCGTCGAATTTTGTCAAGCCCGAAGACCTTCCCTTTCGGTATGTCCGTACTAACAAAGGAGGACATACATCATACATACACCGTGAAGGAAGATGTAGCTGTGCGAAAGCTTAAGCCGGGAACAGAGTTGGGTGTAACTGTGTAACTGCGGCAAAGCCTGGCTCCATGTCAGTAGTGTAGGTGGAACAGTACAGGTTTTCAAAGGTCAGCTGTGCAGTTTGCGCACTCAGCAGGCCGCAGCTGTTGCAGAAAGCACGGACATGGAGGAGCCGAAATCGAGCTGGTGGAGTATGCGAGACTTTTTGAGGAATGCCCAGCTCTCATACTGGGCAAGCTCGCCGAAGGATTTTCGAAGCGTCTTGGCCGTGGCTGCTGAAATGGGACTGCCAGAGCACCAGGCCCTTTGACCTTCGAACACGCCTGAGAACTTCCAGCATCTTTCCAGCTACCTGTAATCGTGAGGACTTGGCGGGAACGCGACGCAGGTTGGCGCTGTTGGAATTGCGCTGGAGCCTTACGAAACAAGCTCCAAGCGCTTCCTTTGTCGCGGAGTTCTCCAGCCCCAGGCCACTATGTTGGTTGAGTACTCGTGGATTTTTTTGCTTTGGTCAAGCACCCTTCTGATGGGCAAGTGAGTCAACTGTGTCTTTTTGTGTTGCCTGTGTCTTTTTCTTGTGTGTTCCGGCTTGTTTTTCTTATTGTGGTGTTTTTGTTGTGTTGGGTGTTCTGTCTTGTTTGTCTCTCTTGAAGGTTGTCTGCGCCCTCTTTGTAGTTCTTGTTGTTGCTGTTGTTGTTGGTCGTTCCCCAGATGAAGCCCTAAAGGGAGGATTGCTGAACAAACCCTGAAGTCGTCCCGAAGATGAAACCCTGGCCCTAAAGAGCTAAGCCTAAGTTGAAGCCCAATCGTCCCGAAGATGAAACCCTAAGGGGAGGATTGCAAAACAAGCTCGGCCTTGCCCCTGCCTGCCCCAAGCCTTATTTCGGCTGAAGGGAGGGTTCCGTCCGAGTGTGCGAATTAATTCCGCTACGGGTGACGGACTAGTCCGCCCGAACGAAGATGAAGTCCTCAAGGAAGGCACAAGATGAGAATCGTCCCGAAGATGGAACGCTGAAGGGAGGATTGCAGAGCAAATCCGGACCCGCAGGGCCAAAATGCAGGCTCGAACTATGAAGACCCTCATGGGGCAAAACAAGACACAGGGGAAATGGTTTCCCTTCTGATGCTTCGATCGCGGCTGCTACGGCAACCATCCTTTCACGAATCTACATCAAAGCATAGACAAGCTCTGTTACCATCCTCTTCACATCAGTGCAGCTGTTCATTACATCATCCATGCCACACCATGGGTCAGACTTGCTTACTAGTGACACAGCTGTGTCTGCACTTGCCAGGTGAAGCTGCCGACGGCACCGGCATCAGCAAACTCCAGCAGTGCATCCAGTCGGTCAAAGTCTGAGAGCGCAGGCTGGCCATGGATGCATGGTTTTGCGTGAAGTGCACATCGAGGCTAAAGAACATGGCGTCGACAAGGACGACATCGACAAGGGCACCTTCAGGCCTCTCATGTTTTTTAATTTTCTACTCGTAATTAACTTGTTCCGATGTAGAATGAACCGGCTTGTCTCCCGGGTCGGCGACGAAGAAGAGAGTGTTCGTGCAAACATGTTTTTCGCGATAAATGGAGTGGCAGGATCCTGCCTAGATGTCCAAACCACTCAAACCCTGACGAGAGCTTGCCACAAGCCTGTCTCCTCTGCCTGTTGCCCCCCTTCTTACTTCCCTTGCCCACACCGCCCCTTCCAGAGCAGGCGATTGAGGAAAAACAAGTGATGGCCAAACATCAAAGGCATCATACCGCGTTTCTTTGCTTCGCCTTTCCATGGCTTCCGGTATCGGCAAGTGCTGCGCAATGTACATGGGGCCCTCACTAAACCCGTGGGTCAGCGGGAGACGGATAGTCTGGGTTGTGAAGGGCATGGAAAGGCACGGACGGTCACGACAGCAAGTTGTCTGCCAGCTGAGGAATCTAACTCCAAGCCTGTCGATCCGTAAGCTCTTTCAAGCTCAAACCTGCAGACAGAATCCGAGCAGCTGCCACTGTGGCACTGCTGCTCCCGCCACCACCCCGACCACTGCTGCTGCTACTATCATTATCAAGTCATTATTGCTACCATATTCCTGCTACTACCACTGGTACTGCTATTCCTACTCCTCCTACTCCTACTGCTACTCCTGCTCCTGCTCCTGCTCCTACTCCTACTCCTACTACTACGACTTTTACTACTACTACTACTACTCCTCCTCCTCCTGCTGCTGCTACTCCTGCTGCTGCTGCTGCTGCTACTACGACTACTACTACTACTACTACTACTACTACAACCACCACCACCACCACCTCCGACGATGATGACTACCAGCACCATCATTGCTACCACTACTACTTGCCCGGACGGGGTCCAAAGACTGGCTGCGGCCAGGATTTCCAGAAGAGTTACGTAAGACCAGGAAGGATTTATGTTTGTGCTTCTGTGCTCGCCTCCGCGCTCATGCTGGCGTCTGCGACGCTGCTTAGAATTCATTGTCGTGCAAAATCTGGAGGCTATGTGTCCTGGAGCTGCAGCAGGCCACGGTCGATTTCGACTCAGAACGACTCAGGCCAGCCGACAGCCGAGTCGTGACAGCAGAAGGTCGCCATGTTTTTCTTTCAGGGACGCCATGTTGGAAGCCAAGGCCGGCCGCAGAACGTCGAAGGAGTTGAGCCCTTTTTCTGGTTGCAAGGAGCGAGCGGCACCTGGCGAACTGTTCCCTCCAGCCAAGCGCAAGCTGGCCAGCATTTTCCCTGAGGCACTCAGACGATTCTGGGGGTTTTCAAAAACTTTTGAAAACGGGCATGAGGCCTTCACAGAATGGATGCTCGTCGAGCTTGAAGAGGTTCCGGGCGAGATAACATGGTCTAGCCGTTCCGCATCTCGGATTTTGGTGACCGGGTGAGACTCTCGCTGCTTTGGATGATGACTCCTCGTCTGGCGACCTTCGTGGGGAGCTTGTGCGATCTTACTTGCTCTTTTCAAGCATGAAACTGTCGGATGACCCAGCGCAACCAAGGAGCTGTCTTGCAGGAGGCTGCAGAAGCGAAGGACATTGCCTCAGTCCTTTCGACCAGGGATCTAGTGAGAGTGCTTTGATGTCGTGCATGGCCGAGGGGGCTTCGCTCGCTTCCTTCCCAACTACTATGGTCAATAGGATTACTTCGTTCAGGATCTGAACCGTCTTGGTTCGTTAGAGGTGCGCAGGCAGATTGCTGCGAACCGTCTGAAGGTAGAAGAGGAAGACCTGAAGCCGGGTGCTCGGTAAAAGTACACAACGGTTGAAGGCATGGATAGCTTTGTCGAAGCGTTGATGTTGGTGTAGTGCGAGCCAGAGTCGAGGCGCGCGGAGGAGAGGCCACCTTGCTTGTCATAGACTTCAAAGGAAAGGTGCACTAGGCCCTGAGTCTAGGCTTGCAAAGCTCGAATTACGAGAAGCCGTCCGAGCCCCATGGTAATTCTTCAGACGTGCATCTACGGATTTGCGCGGAAGCACGAGGCCACCATGTCAGACCTCCCAGAGATTGAGCGCATTCTTAACAACGCTCAAGTTTACGGCCAGGACTTCAAGTTGTCGACGAAAGGCAGTCGTTGACGAAATGCGTGCTTCCACGAAACCAGGCTGGGACGTGTCTCAGGGATCAGCTGGCGCGATGTACGAGGCCGTGGTGGGAGGGTCATGCCTGAGAATCTCGGAACTTAGCTGACCGGCAGATTGCCGATATACTCAGAGTGGGTCATCGACGGATCGACCTGTCAGGCTGCTAGCGTCCGCCGTCGAGAGCTGCAAGCAGAGGACGGGTGCTTTGAAGTTGGATTTTGGTAGATGGTGGCCCAGTGGCCAAAGCCAAAGACTATGAAGCCTGTCGGACAGGAGCGGAAAGTGGATTGCAAGCAGAACTTGGATCTTGCCGTGCGCAGACCTGTTTTGCACCGCAGTCTGACGTCGGCCCTGTCCAACACTTCAGGTTCTGACCCTGGACTTGAACATGATGCGCCAGTACATTGAGGACACGTGGACTCTTGGGACCGCAATTTCCATGGCAAGCCTCTCGCGGCAAGCTGCAGTTAGATGACTCATGTGCCAGGAAGCTAAAGAGCTGGGGCTTGACAAAGAGGTGCCAATTCGAGAGTTTGTTGCAGCACCACGTCGTTCCTTTTGCTCTCGGTCATCTGCCCAGTAGCCGCTTGTCTCCTTAACTACCCGGTGGTTCTGACGGCTACGGCTGTGCAAAATGCATGCGGCTGCAAGCAGAATGCATTCCGGTGCCTGGGTGCGTTTTTGGGTCTCACAAGCACAATGAGTTCCCACCACCGACCGAACTGTAGAGACAGCATCTCGTGCGTCAACGGTGCTTTGGCAGTGTGACTTGCGAACGTGGGCGCAACATCGCAGGGACGATAGTTCTCTGCAACGGGATCTCTGCAGCTTCAGCCTGGGAGGGGTCACCACCCCGCACCCCCTCCTCCAACGGAGGACCCCCCTCCGGGAAAACTAATCGCGCATTGAGTGTTGTCATTATTGTTTGCAATCATTATTATGAGTATTGTTAAATTGTTGTTGTTGCTGTGTTTGTTTTTGATTGTTGCTATTGTGGGGGGGGGGGAGGGGCAGTGGTGGTGGAGGGGGGGCATTTGTTGGGGAGGGGAGTGGTGGTGGTCTTGGGCCATACCGCTGCCACCGAAAGAACTCTCAAGTGGGGACTCCGATTTGGCTCCGCCAGAGGGCAGAAATCAGAAAGCTGAAATTTGAAAGCGGGATGGGCGAAACCGAAACAAGTCGATCGGCTGCTGAGCAAAGCAGAGCTCATCCTGCCAGGTGATCGAAAGAGCCGAGGCGAAGTATCAGGAGTATGCGTAGCCATGCGTAGCCGCAGATGTCGCAGCATGACCTGTTTGGAGCTGAGTTTCACAGACATACACTTGCACAGAGTGTATGTCCGTATGTACAGAGCACAGGGCCTCTGCTCTTTTCCTCTCTCTGGTTCCAAAGGTGAGCCAGAGTGCACCGAAAAGCAGCTGACAAAACGAAGAGGGCTGCTGGATCGTTCTGCGATATGTTCGGCGCTGCTCAGCTGGGCCGACAGCTGAAACTGCTTTTTTGTCTAGCAGAGGGGGTGGGGTGGGGGGGTTGATATGCGTGTATGATATCTTGGATGGGCTGGGCCACTGCTTCGCCAAGGCGGTAGTGCACGGGCACCTGAAGTGCTCACGTGTCGAAACGAAGTTCCGCAAGCCTCCACGAGTGTTTGTGTAGGACACTAAGACCACTGACGAGCCACCACTCGCCACCCAAACAATGCATAATTAGGGCGCAGATCCCAAAGGAAGGCAAAACCATGTCTCACCTACCTACAGAACTCTTGTCATAACACGCTGATGCACATGAGGCAGCTCACCAAAACAAGAACGGAGCTTAACACGGCACCAGCCCGCACATGCCGGGACTCGCGTCTCATGCACCCCTTACATGCCAGCCACCTGGATGAGCAGTGGCATCGGTGGCTCAGGGCCTTTGAGTTATAAGTTCTGCAGTCTGTGATCTAGCCAAGGATTAGGCTTCCGCCGGGGTACAGGCTGGCTGTAGCGGCTAACTGGAATGGAGGAGAGCTGCAACCCCGCCAAGCTCGACGTGCGTGCTGGGCTTCTAAACAAAAGCACAAAACAAATGTCAAGAAGGGCAGGAGAAGTGTCACCTCATGTGCTTTAGTCGTATTTGCCAGTTTGTTCCATGCGACAGCTCACCAATGCGGGGAACCCCGAGACCAGGACTTGAAGGTGCATGCCGACACACTGGGTCCCCGATCCCAAGCCCTTTGCGAACAAGTGCCTCGTAACCCCCCATCTCCTGCCGTGCACTTGCGCAGGTGGATTCTTATGAAGTTCGCCTGAGCAAAAATTTCGAGTCGTCCATCGAGCGCATGAATCGTGAGCTTCCAGAAAATTACAGGAGCTGTTCCTAATTAAGGCAAGGTTTGCAGGTACAGCTGCCTGGCAGTTACGCAAGTTGGGTTGATGAAATTGTTGTTGTTCAGGATTCTGTACAGGCCCTTCGACATGAAAAACCACGCAAAGTTGGCAACTCGGTGTGGCTAGGTACTCGTAGTGACAGTTTATGAGATAGTGTGCGAGAGCTGCATAAGTCCCATGGTCTAGCCCAGGAGATCCCTCGTGCCAGGTCGAATCCCACGATCTACGAGGTTTTCGCACGCCTGGCGGAGTCTGTGGTGACAAGGGTCGCGATTGTCCCAGTGCTGCAGGGCTTTTCCTACGCGTGCAGCCTTAAAGGAATGTGCTTCCCAAGGGCTTCTTCCACACGAAAACAGGATTGCAGGGCCGACCGGAGAGGCCTTGCTTGTGTTGTGGCCATCCCTCAGATTTCGTGCTTGCTTCCGGCTGTGGCTACAGATCATGCCGATGAGATTGGCTTGCAGCGAACCTTACAAAGACTCAGAGACTCAGAGCCCAAAATGTACACAGATAGCTGCTAACCCTGTACGCGTAAAGACCAAGATGCTACTCCGCCCTCACCACCCGCATGAGCTTACATGCGACATGCCGGATTGAGTCAGACAGCTACTAGCGGTACTAGTGGTGGTATGTGCATGTGGTAGTGTAGCTTTTGGCCATGGTCTCATGATCCTGAGACACAGCGGCGACTTGAGTCCGCTTCCGGAGGCAACAAACTTCGCAGGGCTTGCCCTCCAAAATGCAGACCAACCGAGCACCGCAGTTGGCTTCTCTCTATGTCGGTGCTGGCCTCATTAGTTGGCTAGCGGGTCGGGAAAGGACATGCAGACATGTTCACGTTGATGCCGTCGAACAACATCCCTGAATGGCCCCAGACCGTCGGCCATGTAAGGTGATCTTCACCCAGATGTTACAGAGGCGATGCTGCTCTGCAGCTGCACTACTGCATATGCCGGCATCACCATATTTTTTTAGATGTCCGTACCACAATTTTGAAACCAAGGTACGAGCTCTTCAACCCAGTTGGTCCAGTGGCATCCATTCGGATATGCCGAGATAAGACAACGAGGAAGTCTTTGGGCTATGGCTATGCACCTCGGATGAATGGGCTTTGCAGAGTGATTTAAAAATCGAGGTATGCCATGCGGTTCAGGTTAATTTCCACAACGTGAAGGATGCAGAAACGGCCTTGGACTCTCTAAGCTATGCAAGCATCCACGGCCGAAGTTGCCGTCTCATGTGGAGCAACTCGGTTACTTAGCATCATGTCAACCATGTGACGCGTGAGTGTAGGGAAATCTTCACGACATAAGCGAGGTCAGCGAGATGCTGGGCAGAGGAAGGCCGAGCTAACAGAGCGACGAGTGAACGTCCGAGTCAATCTGTTCTCAGTCGTGCCTTGCATCGTAGGAACGTGCAGGCCAACAACAGTAACGTCTACGTTGCAAACCTTGACAAAAATATCGACAACAAGGCGTGCTGGAGTATGAGGGTTGCAGCAAAACATGAAGACGAGGTTGCACGTGCAGACACTCTTTTGCTCGTGCCAGGCGCTGCACGACACCTTGAGCGTGTTTGGGGAGATTCGGTCCTGCAAGGTGGCCAGCCGCAGCTAAGAAACTGCCCACGGCTCGTGATTCTGCCCTTTTCGGGTGAACGTACTAGCCTTACAATCCGAAGTTCGTGGGTGAGAGGCTCTTGTGAGGAAGGGGTTGTCCCTATGATTCCAAAACGAGTTTACCGCATGTTACCACGATGGAGTGGTACAAGCTCACAATCCGAGGTTGCAGCAGATTTACTTGGAAATTCATTTGGGTATGGCTTCGTCCACTTCGAAACCGAAGAGGCCCACCTACTGTTTGACTATGTCCCTGCGGATGGTTACTTACTAGTAGAGGGCTCTATTATGGTTTGTACTATACCGGATTTCGAAACGAGGCATTGGCGGAACGCAGATTCAATCAGATAAGTAATGTAAAAAGACTATCCTGAACTGTGTTCATCATAAACCGTTGCTGCGACGACTCTCCATAGGCGATTCCTCGCTGTGGAACCTCTTGTCCACCTGCTTTATTTTTGGAGATCAGAAGTGACTCAGAAGCGTATTGTAGCCTGGTTCAGGCAGCGAAAGATGCAATTGAAAGGCTCAACAATGTGGAGGTAGGCGGCCAGAAAATTCAAGCCTGCCCCTTACGAGCGGCATTTTGCTGCCTTGACAAGCCTTCAAGGCCTCAGAAAACTTTTTATGGGTGAATTGGATGCATCTCAGTCTCTACGCTTGCGAAGCCTTCTGAGGTGTGCATGTGCGAGAACCGAAAAGAGGGTGCCCCGAACAGCCGGCTCCTGAAAGTCTGAAAGCCTGGAAATGCAGGGAATCTGGATGTTGGCGTGGGTTGGGCATGTGATGTCAGGTGCGGAGGACTTCACCAATTTGTACGTGAAGTGTTTTCCGTCCTCTTGGGATGAGGACTTCCGTGCCGGCCGCACCGTCGCACCGTGTGCTCGGGTACGGCAAGTGTTTTGCGGAAGTGTCAGGAAGCCGTGCGATGTGAGTTCAGCAAATTCGGCAGACTCACTGGCATTGCAGCATCTTGCCGGGACGAAGCGTAGCTGGGAAGATGGTCGATGCAGAAGCACTACTAGCCTCCCCCCGCATGCTTGCTCCTACATCCCACAAGGTCCGCACAGATGCGCAAGGCCGCAGAAGTGCGTTCGTCAACTTTGAACTGCATGATGATGCCAGACGGTGTGTGCAAGAGCATCTCGGCCGCGTCCAACAAGTGCATGGGCCGATTCAGTACGGCAGCATTGTTGTGAGATGCTGAGGATGCACATGAAGGACATGCGAGGTCCTGAAGAACAGGACCGAAACAAACGACGAAAGCTCGCGGAGCAGGGCTTGAGCTAAGTCTTGATTTAGAGAGGCAGACCAATGCCAGAAACCAGCGTGTTATTGATAAACTATAGAGCTCGTCCGCGGCTGCCTCCTCCACCAGTTGGGAGCACCCTGAGAGATGTCTTAATTCTGCACTGCTCCTCCTCCTCCTAATTACTGGTATCTTGGCGCGGCGTAGGTCCCTCAAGGCTCGCTATGAACAGTGGCGGATCTGAAACCATGATGCCTTTGTTTGTCGTGTATTTCTTTGTCTCTGTGTTCTTAGCATTGAAACTAGGCGCCAGTGTGCCTTGACGGGGCCAAGTGCCAGTGTGTGTGTGTGTGTTGGAAACCTTGTTCTGGGTTGCCTGGTCGTCTGCTTACAACCTAAAAAGGAAGGCCCATTGTGCACTATGAACAGAGTCTGGCTGTTTTTGTGCATGCATTTGTGGGGCTGGACCGTGAATCTGCTTGCATGGGAAGGGCCACGCGGGCCTAAGTGCCAGCGTGTGCTTTAGAAGTCTTCTCCTTGAGTTGCTTGACTTACCAGAGGAGGTTGTCATTGCCTGAATTGATGGACCGTAACAGGGAGTACTGCCACTGTGCGGTCGGCTGGCTGGGCCGGCTGCGGCCTTTCAACCAGGGAAGTGCCTCATTGATGAGGGCCGGGCAAATGGGCCAAGAATGCCTGACGCCAAGGGGCCCGCCAGCCATCGATCTTGTGTGAGAGCTTGCACTGCTCCTGCAGGACACGCCGGAGGAGGTGGGATCAGACGGGCATCCGCTGTCACGACTTTATGTGCAAAGAGCTGCTTGTCTTAGACCCACATTCCAGAAGGGTGTGAATGCTTTCAGTGCCTTCATGCTCCAGGCTGCCACCTGCCTGTGGCACTCGTAGGCGTACTAGCTGTGCACAAAACCCCGCTGCCGTCTCTTCTCTCGTCCCAGGCTCAGCCAAAGTCGGAGAGGGAGCGCATCCTGAAAAAGCAGTTCGCCGAGGATGCCGCACTCAAGAATCCGTCACTTGCCGGAAATTGGAAATACCATAGAAAATTCTAGACGCACATCAGTTCTCCCTAGCCAGTGAAGTTTAATGCATCGGCGCGGGTTGAAGTGCAATGCCCAGGTCCAAAATCAGCACCTTGTCGCAAGTGCATTCAGCGGATGAGGCTCCGTGAGATCCGTGAGCCAGGGTCAGGCCTGGTGGAAGCGAGCCTAGAAGCTGGAGTAGCTAGAGTCAGCTAGGGCTAGATGGACATTGAACAGTGTGAGAGAGTTGGTTGGCACAGAACTTGCTCACTCCAAGGTTTGTACGTGAAAGGCTTGCATGAGGATATCACAGATGAAGATCTTCGAAAACTCTTCGAGCCCTTCGGCCATGTCTTGTCTGCCTCGGCGCCGTCCGATGCCAGCTGCTTCACTGCATTGGCATGGCTTGATGAGGCTTGCACATGTGTAGAGAGTATTTGTCCGCCTGCTGAGCTCAGACGGGAAGTGCCGTGGCTTTGGTTTCGTGGACTTCGGCTCACTCGAGGAAGCTACGAAGGACTGGGCGGTGAGCGGGGGTGGGGGCACACCCGGCAGCATGGCAACATGCATGATTCGTTATTGTAATCGTAGAACATTCGTTTTTTTAGTTTTGCCGTACCCTGCAGCTTAATGCAGATTATGGATTCACCAAAAACATCGCTCATCGCACGGGTCCCTCACGTAATTTCAAACGACCGTTACGAGGAGCATCAGTTTGTGTTTGAGCGTTTGTGGTAACTTTGTTCGCCAAGTTCTTAGTCTTGCGCTTGTATTGCTGTGCAGATGCACGCGTGCTCTTCCTTCCTGCTGCCTGCTTGTTGAGGTTTGCCTGTTGCTTTCTGCCTCTTGTGTTGGCACTTTCGGTTCTACAACGTTCGTCCATTTCTGTTTCTGGCCGTGCTGCTTCCATCTGGCTTTGGATGCTGCCCTTCGTTCAGAGCTCTCTACGCTTCTTGCCGAATTTGCCGATATGATGTCATCCGCGCAAACCTTGCCCAGAGACACGGCACCAACATGTCATCTGCGGTGCTTGTTGTTGCTGATTCGCCTTGTGTCGGGTCCCGCGGTGCCCTCACCCGCAGTACCCGAAGCTCAACCTCTGATCCCATGTCGAGTCTTGCTGGTCATCTAGTTTGGGGTGTTTGCTTGCATGTAGCTCAGCATTGTTGAATATTTGTCTTTCGTGAGTAGTGGTGAGGAGGCCATTTCGACACGTAAGTCGTAAGTCCTTTCCCGGCCTGTCAGAAACTCGGCGTTTGTCCCGTGCAGGCAGTGTCGCAGATGCATCTGCGTGCAACGAGCTCAGACAAACAGTGGCCAGGGGTGGCATGGGGGCTGGCAATGCGACGCGATGTCCGCAAAACAGGTGGTGCATGGAAGGCCTATTCATGTGGATTTGGCCGAAAGCAAGAAGGCCTAGCCTGCAGATCAAACGATTGCAATATACCCTTTTGGATTCCCTTCATTTCTGCAGGCGCCGCCCAGTAAGGTAAGCCCAACAGGAAATGTTCACTTGCCGTTTCAGGATCGCCAGGCGCGTCAGCAGCGATCACAGCGCTTTGGCCCTGGCCGAGGTTCGGAGCAAGCAGCTAACATGCTTTTAACTTTTGAGCATTTGCTCATGGGGGATTGCAGAAAATAGGGATACCTTACCTAGGCCCCTCGGGCTTTTTGTTGGAACTGAAGATTGGGGGAGGGGGCGGTTTCTCCGAGGCATGCCAGGAGCACGCTTTCCGGGAGCCTCGGCTGAAGACCTGTACCCAGAACTACCAGGAGAGACACACCCGGCAGAGAACTGTTCTCGCCACAGTCCAGAAGAAGCCCCTTCGCGCGAAGGATGTCGAATTTAGTGTGATCTGTGAAATCCACTACAGCTTGCCACCATTTACGTTCGAAACGCTCGAAATGTCCTGACAGGACCACCTCTCGATCCAGTGTTGTTTGAGCTGCCGTACGGTGATAGTGATGTGCTGGGGTGTTGTTGGTGTGGTCCTGGTGTAATTATTCTTCTAACTTCCAGTATTGTCTTGTGTGGTTCATCACTCTTTCGGGCTAACGCTGGCAGAATACTTTGCTGCTGCTGCTGCTTCTGCTACATTTTGCTGCTGCTGCTGCTACTACTGCTACAACTACTACTACCACCACTACTACTCCCACTACTACCACTACTACTACTACTACTACTACTACTACTACTTACAACTACTTACTACTACTACTACTACTACTACTACTGTTACTACTACTACTACTACTACTACTACTACTACTGTTACTGTTATTGTTACTGTTACTGTTACTGTTACTGTTACTGTTACTGTTACTGTTACTGTTACTACTACTACTACTACTACTACTACTACCACCACCATCACCACCTACTACTACTGCGACGACGACTACTACTACCACCACCTACCACCTACCACTACTGCCGCTGCTACTGCTTTTGCTGCAGGTGCTGCTGCTGCTGCTGCTACAACGTGGGCGGCGCAAAGCCGCCCTTCGTTTAAATGCTGGTATTAAGCTTGCTCGTTTTAGTAATGTGAACAGCGGATGAGACTTAGACGAAAGGAGACGGCGATTGGGGTTGGACAAGAAACGTCGAGTCATGCTGCACGTGCCGAGGGGTCGAATGATTGTTTATAGACTACGGGCTTGCTTTGGTGGGACATGCCACACGGCTTTTCTGGGACTAGGAAATGCGTTTTTCATGCTTGATTTCGTGAGGGTTTTGCAGAGGAGTCACGAAATAAAGCCCCAACCGAAGGAGTAAGATCATGATATGTTTTCAGTGTGCTTTCAACTCAACACCGGTCTCAGCGTTACACTGTATTCAGGCATGTACTGAATCAGAGTCAGTACTTCATGAATTGCAATGTGTTGCTGCCGGTGCCTCTACTGTGCTTAAGTCGGCCAGATAAGCTTGCTTCTGTTGGTGGACCAGTCGAATAAAAGCTCAAAAAGTGTTCGTCGCAGTTGGTTGGGCAACAATGCCCGTAGAGCAAAGGAAAATGTCAGAAACACGTCCGAGCGTTTGGCTTTGTATGTAACTTGTTTCCTGACCTCCTTGGACTTGGTGACTTTGCTGTCGACCTTTTTGGACTCGACCTGGAATGTCTGAGAATTCCGTGTTTTGGCAGGATCAAGCTTTTACTCGAAAAAACAATCAAACGAAAGCAGACGCTCTGACTTGTTCGGGACTTTTCCTGACCATTTTCTGAGATGGAGTTGTTTCTGTGTTTTGTCCGAGGATTCAGAGAACAAGCTGGGAAGCGGTCAGCCTAATACTATGCCTGCTATTGTAACAACATGATTATTGTTGGTGGTCCTTGCTAGCAGCTGCTAGCATCGTGGCTGGCCTTCGTTGAGATCGTGACCACTGATGCAAATTTGTATTTTGCAGTATGTGTTCCTTCAAATGCCCTAGAACACTTCCTACATGTACATTGAGTCAACATGCTATCCTTTGTTCGCTGCGCTCATGTTTTACCTCCTCTTGAGGTGAAAATGCTTCAGACTTCAATCTGCATTTTCGGCTTGGACTTGCAGCTTTGGGTTATAAGTTTCTCGCGAGACAGCGCGTCTACCTGCTGGTGGGAAGGCCTGGCCAACGTGACAGACAGGTTTCTGATGATTTCAGGTTGGGAAGTGCAGTAAAAGCACTAGCAAAAGTCGGCCGCAAAAGGCCGGAAGGCGAAGTGTGGGTCGGGCTATCACGGACGTTGGGAGGAGAGTAGCACCTACTTGAAGACAGTGAATCGCTTAGAGGCTTAGGATGCCGAGCTGATGAGGTTTTACTACTTCACCAGCGCGAACCAATGGACAGAGTGGAGATGTTCTTCCGCACCGATATATATATATATATATATATGTATATATATATACACATACAGATACTGTTGTCCTCATCACTTGAGATTTGCCAGTGGTGGCATGGGGAACCGGCAGACAAGATATTTTGCCGGCGCAGGTTTTTGCAGGAAGAGGGCGGTGACTGAGCAAGCTTTCTGTCACGTGAACTAGCTTCACTAATGCTTATGAACTTGTGCAACTGCTGCGAAGTATTCATACTTCTTACTTAGCTAAGCTGGTACATGTTCAGGATTGTTCAGGAATCTCTCACCTGGCTTCCAAGGTGGCTTCGGGATGCCAAGACCGGGTGTGATGTTTGCTCCTCCGATAGGTCCTCAGATGATGCCACGAGCTGGAGACTCGTTTGAATTCCTCAGGCAATGGAGCATCGAATACTTCTTTCGTGGTAAAACAGAGCACCGGATACGGTTTTTGAGTGCGATAAGAGAGTTTGTTTAGTGGTATAATGCATGTTCTTGGTCGTCAAACCCTGAGTGCTCTTCTAAAACAATATGTTTTGATTGTAGTCAGACCCCAAGAGATAAACATTGCATTTGTATGTTGGCTCTAAGGGCGCTTTGACATAGAGCATGGGATATGGTGATTGAGTAGTAAATCAGAGCATGGAATGCGGGGCAAAACATGGCATCGGAATGCATCAGATACGGTTGTTGCGAGGTACAATAATGACCTTCTCAGCCCATTGGCTTTCCTGTGTCTGGCTGTGGACAAAGACCCTCCACCTTGGGTCCGCGTGCCGAAGGAACATTTCTGATTCTTGCTGTTGTCCAAGGCTATGCTGGCTGTGGCGGCGGCTGCGGTGGCTGCTGTGGTGGCGGCTGTGGCTTCGGAGGCTGCGGCGGCTGTGGCTGTGGCTTCGGCGGCTGTGGCGGGGGCTGCGGCGGCTCTCCGATGTTTCCTCCGCCGCTTGGTCTGCTGGGCGGGCTGGGCCCAGCCCAAAATGGAATGCGGGGCCCGCCTCCGACACTCAGCTTAACTCGACTCTGCTTAGAACAAAGGGATGATAAGGAGATGCTTCTCGGTGCATCTGAAGTGGCTGAGGATGGCCTTAGGGCATGGTCGTGGGCAAGGCCTTACTGGCCAACCCTCAGGACCGCAGTTTAAAGGCCCTGCAGTTGCCGGGTCGCATGAGTTTGCCTCGATAGCCACGCACAACGCCGCAAATCGTCAGTCGAGGTTAGTACTCAACGCCCTGTGGATTTTGTCTTGGTGGCAGTGCGTCGGTGCCTTAAGGTTACAGCAGCAACTTTGGCATCCATGCCGCCGCCCATGCAGAAGCAGCTTCTTGGAGAGAGCCCTGGCCACTGCTTATGAAAGTGTCAGGAGCTCTCATTCAACAGACGGCTAATTAAAGTGTCGGAGCGTTTGTAAGTGGAACATGTTGCACATGGAAACAGACTCTCTTGATTCCTTCCTGTTGAGGAAGCTTTATGCTGAGATTGCGCGGATGAACGGTGTCCACGCGGGAAAGATTACTGGAATGATGCTCGAGCTTCTTGCATGCACTCTTGCAACCTGCATTGCATGCTGTTTGACAGCGGCCGCACAGACTTTGAATTCAGAAGCATGTCCGCCGACAGACACTTTCGATTGCGCTATTGGCAAGATGTCAGATTCGTGTTGGCATCGCCGGTCCCGCAGGATGGACAACAGCGACATTCTTGCTTTTCTTGAGTCGCCTGAGCGCCTGCAGTCCAAAGTTTCAGAGGCTTTGGACATGCTGACACGGTAAAGAATGCAGAGCAAGTGCAACTACATGCGGGACCGACATGCTCGAAAAAACGCATTGAGAGATTGTGTGTGTTGCTTGGACACTTTGCGACCTCTCCTGCATCCGCCTTGTAACATACATTCGTGCGGTTGATGTCCAGGCTGCAGAACGGCATGGTTCGCACGAATTGTGTGGACTGCTTGGACCGTACCAACGTGCAGCACTTAAGTTGCCATCCCTGTGCATGTCATGTCGGACGTCACCTCATCTTCCAAGTATTTGTGTTTTTGTGCATCGCTCTCAATGAACTGTTGAGTTTTGGCCTGTGGCAACAACTAACGTCGGTAGACACGTCACTACTATACAGGCCTTGCAGATCGGAAGACTGGATATTCCCGTGGCTGTGGATGTTTAAAGGCAATACCCACGGCTTACCGTGCTGGCTCAGATATGTGACGTACCTCCTTCCGGCCTTTTGCCATCTTTTGCCTGGCCTCTGCTTCCAGCATGGCATGGAAGAGACCAGCTTATTTTCTAGGTGGAGGGACAGCTACACATTGCCTGCCTGAAACGAAACCAGCGGCGTAAGAATGTTTCGGAAATGGAGGGGCTGTCGAATCTATTTTTCGGGGCGGCGCCCGCAGGCGGGCAGCGAAGGGTAGCAGCCCGGCTAAACCATACAATGATAGACTTTTGTGATGATTACCTGAGCCTAGCCTCCAAACGAGGTCCCGCACGGCCCAATGGAAAAACGCAGGTCCGACGATGCAGGGTCGGCGGCACTGCCGTCCGCCCTGTTGACCTCGTGTTACCATTAAGGCATGCTAAAGCAAAACCTGCAAGCCTGCGACTTCTGATTGCTTAAAGGAGCGTTTGAGGCAGGCGAGGGCCCTCTGTCTGGACCGTATCTAACCAGAACCCCCCCTCGTTCGATCCGAATTGCGCAGCAACCATGTGAGGGAGTTGGCTGAGGCAGAGGTGGCAGGCTACTGGTGGAGATACTGTGGCAAAAAGGGCCTGTGCTTGGACCGCCTCGATTACTTCAGCTACACTGAAGACTGAACAGTTGGGAAGGAATGCAGGGCTCGGCTGTGTTGGGACGGCCTCGTTGGAGCCGAACAAAAATGAACTGAAGCCGTCCCCAAGAGCATTCGGACACCAAAACGGCATTAGTTGAATTCTTGTGTCAACCTATTGAACGACATGATATTGATGCGAAGTCTTCGTCTCACTTTGCCTGCAGCTTCCAATGTTACTGCGTACGAAGCAGATGTTACAAAGTTTGTGCATGCCTTTCCGTTTTCCGTGTGAGCATGGACCTGTCATGCATGGACATTTGTCCCTTTCGGCCGTGGGCCCTCTTGAGATTCTTGAGCTTCTGGCACTTTTGCGTTGCAACGAAAACATGTTGCGCGCTTGCGACACTCACGTCTCTAAGCTCAGCTGGTGTCTCGTCAAACTAGCTGCGGAGCCGGCACTGGAGCGACCGAGCGATACCAAGATGCATGCTCGAGGACCACGAGTCGGCGTCGCAACTGGCTCGTCCAGGGACCAATGCCGCGAGATTTTCTAGAGGTGCTCTTCTTGTGACAGCCCCCTCGTCTTATGAAGCTGAGAGGTTTGCGGCGACGTTGTACTACCATGTGAATCAAAGCAGCCTACTGTGAGACAGGCATCCCATGGCCAAGGAGATTTGGAACTATGTTCCGGCAGCCGGGCTACAGCACTGAGGCGTCCGAGCAGCCCGGTTCATCACGCGAGCTAGTGGAGGCGACGATCCGCGGCTACCTGACAAAAACGGTTACGTCCACGCCGAGGCCTTGTAAAGGGCTTTACGAATAGGCCCGATAGACGAAGTGCGCAGGCGCTCTCCGGGACAGTGGTTCAGCTGCTCACTCTCGGCCGGGTACTTTCTCTTTTGGTACAGCTTGAGGCCTTGGAGGATGCAGTCGACACCGCACTCGCAGTTAATGTGGTCTAGAGCTCATCGCTGCGCCAAGGCACAGTGCGGGGACAGTCCAAATCTCGACCTTCCTGGCCCACTTCGCGAAAGTCGTCATCCTTGACACGGACCTGTTTCTCGAGTCCCATCCTGCTGTTCCAGCTTGCTTTTGAGCTGGGAGTTCGTCCGGGCTCAAAGTCCAAGAGGTGGCCGGGACGCTTTGTATCAGTATTTTGATCTGATCGGCCTTTAAGCTTCACATGCATGGCCTGGTTTCACCCTGCTATTGACACCGGCTCATTCGCGGTTGGAGCGCCAGGTGCGGGCCGGGTCCTTGCAGATGCTATCACACCAACTTTTGCCTAAAGCACGTGGTGTCAGGCAAAAGGCGGTTGTTGGAGCATGCCAGACTGGCAGATCAGCACCTCATCTTGCTTGGGGCTCGCCACAGCCTGGCATGAGGTGACATCGGTACCCCAAGTTCCGAGCACGGCCGCCTGTCGTGAACAAGGATGGCGTTCCGGCAAAGAGAAAGGCGGCAAAGGGCATCGTCCTCGCAAGGTGAATGTGACCCCATGCAAGGCAGCCAAGCACTTTGAGCGCACCGACCGCAACACCGAGGCCGACATCGACACCATTCAGAGGGACAGGCCGAGGATGAAGAGGGCGGCCCGAGGCGGATTCAGAGGAGGATGGTGAGCTCCAAAACCTTTCGCAAGTTCTCACGGTGACTGCCCGGAGGTTGGCGAGGCAGCCCAGCAGCCCCTTCGACGGCGCCAGTCAGGCAGGGGCGCCAAAGGACAAGCGCGCCGGCCATCCCAGGAGACCCTCCCAGGCTCCGTCAACTTAGTATGTACGAGTTCCTCCACAACAAGGCCCCAGGAATGGAAGAACATGACGTCATTGAGGTAACACAAGTATGCATGCATGCATGTTTGCAGTGCAGGTAGTGCATGGTGAGAGTGTGCAACATGCCCTCACTAGCGCAGTAGGTCGTGTCCGCTTCCACATCTACACAACACATGCATCCGCGCATACATGATATCCCATCACACATGTGTCTCGGCTGCAACGCGACTTGTTTTATCCCTTGGCGCCTTGGCTGCATTTCTGTGCCTTGCTGCATTAATCTTTTGCTCAGCTCCTTGACAGCATTTATGTGCCTCGGCACCTCGGCAACAACTTCACTTTCCTCCGCAGTGAGCAACTGTGCGGCGACCCTTTCCGGAGGAAAAAAAACTTTTGGCGCTTTTTCACTTGCCTGCACCGCTTCCTTGCCTTGCACTGTTGCACTGTGCTGTCCTTGCCTGTCCTTGACCCTGTCACTGCCTGCTGTTCCTTGTCTTGCCTGCTGCAGTCACTGCCCCTTTTGCTTTCTTTTGACACTGCTGTCCTTGTCGTTGCTGTCTATGTCATCCCCTCGCCATGCAAGTCGGGGATTGCACCCTGGACTGATGTGGCAAAACACATAACCTTGTGGGTGTCCCTCATCGAACCTCTAACCCCACGATGCCGCTGAAGCCATGGTATGCAACTGCACTGGTTGTGGAATCAGATGGCTATGGACTAGTCTGATTTGTCGCAGAAGGACACCTGACTCTGGATGCAAATGACTCTGGAATGATGGTCGGCCATGGACTCTGCGATTGGTGAAGTCCTGCCTCTGATCTTTGACGCGCTGCCTCTGCATGGGCCCCGTCGGGGGTCAGACTATGAACATTCCAAATGCAGCAAAATGGACTGGGTCTTTGCAACTTTGATACCTCTCGATTCCTGATGTGCTGTCTCTGCACAGACCCCGTCGGTCATCAGGAAAACTTTTGGCTACAGTCGACAGTACAAGCCATGTGGCCAGTGATGCTGGTCCGGGTTGTGCCAGAGTGATCTAGTTGTTCGAGCTTTTGGTGCCTCTGGTTCACGACGTGCTGCCTCATTGGGGCGGATAGTCGAACTCTTACTGTCTCTGTTGCATGACGTGCTGCCTCTGCACAGGCCCCGTCAATTATCAGTCTGCGCATTTGGATTGGACGAGGACGACTTTTGGCTGGAGTCGGCCATCCAAACTAGATGGCCAACCAACTTCACGCTGCGCTGCCCCCACTGGACTCCCGTGGATACTGGGTGAACACCAGCGTCAACAGACGTCACTCGGTGCTGCTGCGAAGACACTCTGATTCCGGGGACTCGGGGGAGCAATGATGTGAAGCTGACGAGGCTGGGGTTGAAGAAAAGCTGGAGCCGACTGAAGCGGAGTGGCGGCGAGTGAGGGATGCTGCCTTCCTTTGGATGTAGTAGAGCCCCCAAACGTACAGAGAGGGGAGGCCCTACTCCTTGCGTACTGTGACGTGATGTGTGTGCCGTCACAAACCAAACTTGTCTCGCCCTGGCCTCCTGGCTGATCGCCTAACTTTGGTGGCTGAAGCTCTGTGCTGCATGGAGGAGGAGCCAAGAAACGGTCATTTGGCAGTGTGCATCGACACTTTTTCCCAGCATGTCTTTCACGGCCTTGCACAGTTGCTGGACTGCGCTGATTGGAGTAATGCACACTCGGAAGCGACTTTTGCAGAGTTCTAAGGCAGACAGCAAGCCAGCACGGCATGCAGGTGTCACCCCGGCATGGCTCGTGAGCTGCGCGAGGTCTTTGCGCAATTTGACAGCAGCGCCCTGCCTAGCCTACCTACTCCCGATGCAAGACTTGTGGGAAGAGACGACTGTGAAACACCGCGCGAAAGGTGATTCAACAAATCATACGCCGCGTTTTCGAGCTCGTCATTGCCTTGCTCGGACATTACCTTGGAGCCTTCTTGGAGATAGGTGGTTCGGGCACAAGACGACCCAGGCCGAACACAGCAGCGGCATCAACGGCACTTCGGGAAGGCAAATACATCGACAACTTGGCTCTTCTTCATGGACCGGGACGTCACGACCCAACGGAGGAGATCAGCTCGGAGGAGCGGACGACGCCGAAAGGCTGACTGGGACTGGCCACCGAGCGCGCCGCAAAGACCTACCAGACAACTTCTTCGAGACCGCCTCCTACCTTCGGACCGTCGACCTCCTCGAGATTATCGCTGTTGAGGCCAGGCCAGACCGTCTGCCGGAGCGCCTGAACGCATGCGAGCCCATCGCCCTCCCGTTCGGCTGGGACTTGTAACAAAAGAAGCAACAGGACATAGTCGGCGGGCTGGTTCAACGATTGCGACCTTGGGCCATCATTGTGGACTATCCCGGCATCTTCTACAGCGTTGCCAATGAAAACTTGAACTACCGCAACAAGCTGGACAAACTTCAACGACTATGCGATGTTGATCATTTCATGCGCAGTTTCACGACGACACTTGACTTTTCTGCAAACAATACGACGAGGCCTGGCACTTCTTTATCGGAAATCCGAGACACAGCAAACTATGGAGCCAACCCGAGATGGCTTCGCTTCTCTACCTGCCGGGAGTCACCACTACCACGGCAAATCGGGGTGCCTAGGCCCTAGACCACCGCAACGAGCCGATCAAGAAGGCGACCCGGCTCATGTCCAAATACTCTTAACTACCCTGTCCTGCAAAAGGACTTCGGACGACGGCTTTCGCCCAACGACCTCCTCTAATACTGGCCGGGATGCGCTAGGATCCCAAGTGTTCCCACATGCTTTCGTGGACCAAATCCTGACGTCTATCGGGAACCACGTCTTCGAGGAGATTGGGAAGAGCTTCGCGGGCACGAGTCGGGCGACCGTACGTCGTTGGCCCCTCGGCAACGAGACAGTGGAGGTGGAGCATTTAGACGGAGTAAGGCAGCCCAAAGATGCCCAAAGGACGTTTGAGCAAGCCAGCTCAGTTCGCAGTGTTCTTACGGTACATCGTGGTAAGCTTCAGGGGACCAGCCGCAACTGCAGGACGATCCAGGTCCTTCCGTGCCAATCTGTCAGGGCTGCCCGCTGACGTGACATTTACGGGGCTCACCGACAAAGTCCCGATCAAAGGAGATCCGTGGCACGTTTGCATGTGAACCTCAGCGCTCAAGCCAACAGGATCTGAACAGGCTCCTTTCTTTGTCATCAATGTGTGCCCGGCTCAAAGGCACAAGAGTGTGTGTGCGCAAGCCAGAGATCTTGGCCACACAAACTACAACGACCTTCAACATAAGGCAAGATCCCGCGCATTGCTGGTGAGTTGCTCACCGACGGCGGCTCATTGGGACAATCCGAGATGGACATTGGCCTGGCTGCTGAACCCGCCCGTTCCAAGGCAATCAACCATGTAGCCGACATGAACGTGGATCGAGGACCGTGGCGAGCCATCCTCAAGAAGCGCTTCTTTTGATCAAGTCCAACATCTACTATATTTTGTTGTACGGCTTAGCCAATGCGCCGCGGCTGTGGTATATTGACGTTATTTCCCGGCTCGTGCGCCCGGTACACCCAGCACGCCATCGTCGTCTATGTCGACGACTTCTTGCGGGTGTTTCGCACCGACTACGGCATCAACGAGGTGGACAAGGCTTTCTCTTGGGGAACATTCAGCCACTTCGAGCTCTTCAACGGCAAGGAGCTGACGCTTCGCTTGAGCAACCGTGGGAGACACGTTCTGTCCGTTCTGTTTTATCTCCCAAACCGAGTTCATCCAAGAGCGGCAAGATCCCAAAGAGTGCCGACCTTGAGCAGCCAATGTCTGCTGAACAGCAAGGTGAGCTCAGGTATGTGGCCGGCTGTTTGCAGTGGTTGTGCCGACAGTCCAGACCGGAACTGTCCCCTTTCGTCTCCTTAAACAGCTTCAGCTTTCGAAGCCACCGCGGCAACGTGAAGTCGCGGCACTTTGCACTCGATTTTTTGCAAAGGGCACCTCTGAGCTTGGTTCTGTCTGACGTGCCGTTGAACCCTGCCACGACTCTGGTTTCGAATAGTGACGCATCTTTCCTCAACTCACGTCACGACCTGAAGAGGGTTCCTACTGAGTCGAAGCGTGCGGACGGACCCACCAAGCTGTCAACCGATCGCCATGGACCAACAAAAAAGCAGACCAGTGAGTGTTAAGTCTGCACTTGTTTTCCAGTTGAGCATTGAGCTGTCATGCATGGACCTCTGCCTCCTTCGGCCTAAATGGACCCTCTTGAGTTTCGTGCACATTTGCCTTGGTGAACACGTGTTGTGCGCTTTCGACTGACACGTCTTTCAGCTGAGCAAGTGTCTTATCAAGAGATGTCGCCAGGTCCTCCCATTTGCTTTGTACACTGACAACCCACCGAGGTTTTGCAGTTCTTTGTGGGCCTGGAGGTTTTGAAGCAGCAGCTGACGGCCAGCCGGAAGTCTTGTGTTTCGCCGTTTATGCCGATGCTGGCCCAAGGCAATGTGCTTGCTTCCCGAGCCGAAAATGGACTTTGAAAGCCAGGTGTCTCCGTTCCATGCATTGCTTCTACATGTTCACTTGCTGCTCTTGGCAGGCAGTTTTCGTGTTGAGCGAGCTTTACGATGTCATGGGCGACCACCTTGCCTTGCAGTTCGGTCCACAGAAGGATACCGAGGGGTTCAATCTCCGGTGGCCATAAATCCACCAAATGTCAAAAGGTTCTGTGTATTGTATCCAATCGTTGCGAAGTATATCATCTGTCGTTATTTGACGTTGTTATTGCGTATTCACACCACTGCCCCAGAGCCCTCGGCCCAGCGGCATCTCGCGGCACCGAGAAATCCTCAGTGATGCATCGAGTGTCAGTGCACAGAGCCAGAGGAACCCATGATGTGCGAGGTATGCTGGATCTGTCGCCCACAAAAAGTACCAGGTAGTCGCCGCTGGACAGTGCACGCCGCGCTTGCTCAATGCATCACTTGTGTCAGCTTCTGGGAAGCCGTCCGCGCATGATGACAAGCTCGAAAGAGCACCGGCCCCAACTAGGCACTAGGCCGAGAATCTACCGGTCTTGAAGTCTGATCAATTTACCGCTTAACTCCTTGACTGTCGCTGCGTCCGGGGTACATGGCACCAGGCTGCTGACGTCTATCCATCGCCACTACAACAACTCCTTCACCGATCGCGAAAAGCAGGACCTGCTGCCTTTGTGGAGGTAAATCTTGCTGACGTATGCTGCTGTCGGTCGTTCGGGACAGGCATGCTTGAACCTTTTCTTGGGCCTGTACCAACCAGCAATCCATCCATCCATGGAGAAGCTCGATTGTTTTAGCCTCAGACCGACTGGGTCAGTGTCACAGTCATGTCGTGGTTTCGTGGCTTTCCACAGGCGACTCCTGGGTTCACCACAAAGTCCTTAAGGATGACTACAGCCCTGGAGTCCCAGCCCTACCATGGCCTATCTTTCACGAGCTCCCCTCAAGCCGAAGCTAACATCGCTGAGGAATGGTGGGTTGAGCCGCTGCAGAAGCATCGCCAGAATTTGCTTCCGCTGATATCGAAGGAGTGCGTATGGCATATTGAAAATTGTATTGCAGGGTTGGCAAAGGCCCGGAATAAAGAGACTGCTCGGCCTGGTTAGGTTAAAGCGCGTGGGAAACGGTGTGCCCGAACCTGGGTGTCGAAGAAACGTCACATGCTTGTTCTGCAGCATTGCAGATTTCACAGAGGATCATGCAACAGATGCACGGACATGACTCCAATCGTTCGCGCTAGCTTGCCTGAGTCGGTGCAGGCACGAAGGGGTGATTGGATGCTCCAATCCTGTGATAGTCACACGTGCTGCTGTTGTCTCCCCCGGCTTGTCCATGGCTTGGGGTGGGGTGGGGGGTGGGTGGGGGACTAGCGGATGGCTGTCCGTCCGACTGTCTGTGTCTGTCCATCGCTTTACATCTGGCTCTGACATCTTTGTCTCGCTCTCGTTCTCTCTATCTCGTTGATCTCTTGTTCGCACTCTTCTTGTATCTTGTTATTGGCTTCCCGATTCTTCCCGGTCATGCTAGGTGTCCTAGCTGGCCGGCTGCACAGCTCCCGTTGCGACTCAGATTTGCTGTCGCGAGGATCCTGAGTACAACATCAGACTCACGCAAGAAGGATTGCAGGAATGGTTCTGCCAGGCATCAACACAAAAGTTCCATGATTCAATATGGCTTGAGTGACCCCGCTGCGCAGGTGCACAAGGCTGAAAAGTATACCTGGTTCGAGAAGCTGCTCGCGAATTCCGACGCAACTTTTGTGCAGGTGCGAAGGGCGGGGAATGGAGGTCGACAGGTTGCAGAGTTGCATGTGATGGCTAAGATCAATCCCGCAAGTCGCCCATTGCGGACGGTGGGGCCTTACAAGGCCAACCAATTGCCACAGCTCCGCTAGATGGCTGCAACGGAGCTTCAGAAGTGTCCATCGACAGAAATATTTGGAGCGCAAGCAGAAGGAAGCGAAGCACAGCGCCCGGACCTCGATGATCCCTCCCGGTATCGCGTTCCACCTCGCTCTCAGAGTTCTCCGGGGCGAAGGCATGCAGAAGCCATGCAGAAGCCCGCAGGAACCGTACCAACGTGCCACCAGTGTACTGATCTACTGACCAAGTCGTGTAACCCTTTATATATGCAAGTAATTTGTGGACATTTGTGGCTCATGAGCCCTCGGAAGTGTTGTCCATGCAGTGCAAGGCCGTTTTGATGTGTTTCGATCGTGAATTTGCAGGCCTAGCACCCTGGCATTCTGCAATATTCTGCACTGAGGAAGCGCCTCTCTCAAAGCCAAGTTTTTCCCTTCAGCCGATGTCGACGGAGGAAAGGGAGGCCCTGCATTCACTGACTCTCGGCTGCTGGCCAACCTCTCTCACGACGTCACACCTGAAGATTGACATCCATACTCGTAGCGTGTACATGTGATCAAGTGCAAGGTGTCCCCATGTTCCTTTTGAGTTGAGCGCGGTATCCAGCGGTAACACCCTTTTGGCCGTGAGAGCATACGGAGTCCAATTTGTGGAACGATTTGGGAGTATTCTCGGCATTGCATGAAACTTGGTTAGTGTACCAGCAAGAGTACTTGGACGGCAGGTTTACCAGACTTATGTCGACACCAAGCAGCTCAGCCGTTTGATGTGGCTAGAGAGTACAGCAACTGACCAGGCACGCTCAGCGATCCCAGCGTTGCGTCGATTCTGTACAGCTGAGCTGCGACAAGACGGCGGACAGCACTGTCGTGGGATGCAACGAGTTTGCTTCAGGTGCCCTCGTGCATTTTGCCAGCCTTCGATGCCTTGAAGGCCTTGTTGGGCTGTTTGTATTTGCTTCAGCCCATCATGTTAGCCTGTGGGGAAGGGCGAACAGCCATCGCCTGCCGTGTCAAGATCAAGGCCGCCAGGATCCGCAAGCTAATGCGAGAACAGCGATGTCAGATGTTGCCAAACACAGACTTGAGTTTGAAGTTGCACAATAAGTTCCACTTATTTGCCGGATTTGCGCTCTACGAAAGATGCGTGCCGGTCACGGAGAATAAACTTTAGCACTACTGATGATTCTTCTGAGATTCTGTCGCACATGCGACAGCAGCTCTGAATCCAGCCTGTCCTGGGCAAGAGGGCCTCTTGTCGGCTATGTTTCTTGTTTCGTTCTCATGTTGCAGCAAATAAGACGTTCGAAAACTACCGGTGTTTGTCTTTCTTAAGGCCGGCGTGTCGTTCTGTCGTTCTCGCTGCCTTTTGCTCGCTTTTGGTAGCTGTGATCAGGCTTCGCAGCATGTGCGAAGCAAAGCGGCAGACCTCGATCGGTGGAGTCACAAATTGCTGGCCTCCTTGGCTGGGGTTTTACATCGTGTCGTCTTCGCCACCCATCGCCTGATGTGGCCTTCAGGGTTCTCTCCGCACGTGCAGCGTGTTGGCAGGGAGTTGCCCGTGGTGCAGAACAGGACTGGTAGACCTGGAGGGAAGGTAGGTGGCAATGAAGGAAGAGGATGGCGAATGCGTGGGCGCGATCGCAGACTTACCAGCAACATTGTCAGAATTCTTGCCAGCAAAAAAGCTGAAGACGTGCTTGAGTCTCCATGTGATTTCTAGGAGCCCCTCAACCGACACACACTACACTAGCAAGTCGTTGTCGCCCTTCCCTGCTTCAATTGACGCCAGACTGTTCTCGAAAAGATGCACGGCACATGGACAAAGCACGACTTGCAATTTGCGGCTGGAGCAAAAACTTCGGCATTGGCAACAAAGTTTGCGGCACCTTACGTCTCAAGTGGCGAGAGATGGCGGGAGAGGTCCGCCCGGATGCGACGCAGCGAGTTGCTGAGTCTGTGGAGCAGGCAGCTGATGGCACATGAGGTCGCTCAAGCGGCCGGCAATCTCGGTGAAGGCCAGGGCAGAAGAATGGGCACAGTAGCGATGATGCAACACTGCGCAGAACTGGCGCAGCTTGTTCAGATAAAGCTTCACGTTTGTGCCTCAGACGTTGGTCACACCTCCCCCAATCGGATTTTTTCGTGAGTTGAAGGAGCAAGGCCGGAGCAGGACGGGACGGTTCTGCATAGTCAAATCAGAAGCCAGTTGCAGCCGGTCGTCTGTCGCGCTTTGAGGAGCGAGGCCGTCTTGCCCGAGACAGAGCGACCAGAAAAGACACCTTTCTTTTTTCTTTTGAAGCACCGCCATCAAAGTTGACATGCTTCAGCGCACAAGTGAGTGTCCACCCTTCACACAGTGGTCGTGTGTCGCGACTGAACCATACTAAGCCACTCCCTAATTTGCAAGCATCATGCCAGGAAGAAAGCCCGCGAGCGCAAGCCTTGGCATGCGTTTGTTGGTCGCAAAGATGGTGCATGGCACCGAGGAAAGTGCAGAGCAAGCAGAGGGCGGGCTGGCTATAGCTCTGCTTAGCAGAGGAAATCAGAACGTTCGAGATTGTGGCAGGTGCGCGAGCAAGGCCACGTAGGCCGGATGGCAGATGCAGGTGGAACCGGTAGAGCTGGAGGAGTGTCTCCACGCGCTGCCACGCTGCGTCTGTCGCAGGCAGGTCGACGACGGCCTCCAGGCGCCGCCAACTCTGCACACTCAAATGAAATGGTATGCGTTGACCCAGTTCGAAGCCCTTACCTGTAGTTACGAGGTTGCACATGCAACTTGGAAGGAAGAGGCCAATTTTTGCATAAAAGCACGTCATAGTGCTGGCCGGATGTGGAACATCGCGGCGCTAGAGGGTCGACCTTTTAGCACAGGTGGATGCTTTGCAGCTACTGCGGGAAGGCTTGCGAGGCCGTCAGAGCTACCAAATTTCCAAGGGCCAACTACTGACTGCATGGCCTCTTAAAATATCTCCGAGTGTAGAGGAAGTCGTGCACATCCCCACATGCAGAGCACTCTCGAAAGACGTGGACAATCGGCGGACGGGCGGAGAATGTTTAAAGATGCAGTGTTTTTGTCTACACGATAGCGAGACAAATCAGCCTCCATGAAGACGTATTGCAAGAAGGAGGCAGAGTATCACGATTGCACACTGGCAGTCGGGGGGAGAGAGAGCTGCGTGTGCACGCATTGCCACGTCCCCATTTTCGTTTGACGAGTCGCACAGGTATGAACTGCCACCACATTCAACGTGCCTGTGAACAGCACGGTGGGCGTGGGGCTTGGTCATCTTGGCCATCTTGCCCCACTTGGGCGACCAAGATGGCCAAGGGGGCCCTTGGTCATCTTGGTCTGCCCCACAGGTAATCCCCCACCCTTGCTGGTACCATTTTCTCCGGCACGCTGGAAAATTGCGAAGAACCAGCCACTTGCCACTGATGCACGAAGACAACACCCGCGGTGTCCCTTGATTTTCTGTGCGACTTTTCGGGTCATGCGGTTCTTGTAGTTGCTACAGTACCACTAGCTGGCCAAAAAACTTAATGGCACAAAAAACTGGAGTAATTGAACAGAAAGTCTTGAAGATTGTGTAGAAGGAAGTCTTGAAAGCTCTCGAAAAGGTCTGTTGCCGCTCCTAGAGAAAAGATTTCGAGATTTTCAGCAGGACTTTTCCAGAAGTTACTGAGCGGACGCCCATGCATGATGGCCGCATGTCCACTGTAGGTCAGATGCGCTTCATGGCTCCTGAACTAGACGGCACGGGGTGTCGTTGCGGGAAGTGATCGTACAACTACTGTACCTGTTGGCCTGTTCGTGCTGAGAGTTCTGCGAAATGAGAGTCGCCATGATCTAGAAGCGCTTGGAGCTTCAACGCAGCCAAGCCCACACCTGCTAAGTCTCTAAGTTCGCGTATTATCCAAGCAGACGACATCACATCGCGGCCCAAGCCTCTCAAACTTCAATAGACTTCCTTCAGGCTTGATCGTACGCAATGGCTGGTGAGCATAAGCCTTTGCGTGACACGATGTGACACACATCCTTTCACACTTCACCCAAATCATCTACCACGTCACTTGCCCCACTCGCCTTCCTTCCCACCTGCTTTTGAGGGTTCACCACAAGCTTACATGCCGAGGAAGAGGCAGACAACAAGATGCAATACTATGCAACGTTCAGATAGATCTTCGGAGACTCCAGAACCTTGTGTCTTGCCGCCTCTGACTCCTGATTTCGGCAAGTTGTTGTTGGACTGCCAGGCACCGATGTCAGAGCTGTCCGACATGCAGAATCAGGCGCAGAGCTGTACCTAAATTGCCTGCTGCAGCCGCTGAAAAGTGTTCACAGGTGCACGTAGCAACATCCGATTCGAGATCGGGCGACAGGCCAATCACAGTAAGTGATGCTGGGAGGGAGGGTGAGGGAGGGAGGGAGGGAGGGAGCTTGCATTGAGTCGTCCCAGCCTGTCCACCACTGTGAGAACTGAGCTGTACCACTGGTATTCCTTAGTCCATACCCGTTGTTTCCCAGAGGAAAATCCTCGGGGGGAAAGTGAGACACCCACGGACTGCGGGTGC